CACACAGTGGTCGCTATGTCCCAGTGGAGCGTTAATTGTTACCTGATCAACGAAGTGTCTTTCGTTGGTGATGACCAAATCCAGGAGGGATGGTAGTTGGCCTGCGCGGTATCTGGTGGGTGCAACGACATGCTGGGTCCAAGCGCTCTGTTGAACGACTTCAAACAGCGCCGATGGAAAAAGTCCGCCTGATTCGACGGGCTGGAGTTCCATCCAGGAGGCCTTTGGGGCGTTGAAGTCACCTACCAGCAGGAGATGAGTGAAGTGGTGGTTGGAGGAGAGTTGCTCAAGAGGTTGTATGAGGAATCGGTCATCTTCAGGGGTACTCGAGAGGTTACGGTAGACCACACCGAGAAGGAGAGAATCGGACCTGCGCAGCGAGATATGAACCCACAGTGCACCGCAAAAGTGTGCGGAGGTGGTGTCAGAGAGAATAATCAGGATTGGTAGGGCTGCATGCAAGTACAGGGTAACCCCGCCTGCCCGCCCCCGTTTCGGGTCGGCTCAAAAAATAGAATAAACGTTTATCAAGTTCTCTACGTCAGTGACATCTGGTGTGAGCCAAGTCCAGTTGAGTGCGATTCTGGACGATTGTTCAAAGCAAGCTTACTGTTTAATATCGCCGAGTTTGTTAAAAAGCCTGAGGCAATTTGTGGACAAGCATTTCAAAACTGTTTCTGCTGCCTTTGAGGGTAAGGAGCCGAAAGTTGAGTGACCAGGGATGTTGACAGACTTAATAGTTGTGCGCAGGGGTGGGAATCCGGGGCTCCAAAGGGACAACTGGGACAATACCGTCTGCTTCCTGTCTTCGTGGTTTCTGAGGATGATTTTCGCTTGCAAGGTTTCATTCGCCCCGTGAGAGTCCGGTTTGCTCTGGTCTTTTGGCTTTGGGGGACGGAGTTTTTTCCCCGTGGACGAAAATTTCGACAGTTGCTGTTTGTAGCTCTTTCAGCATCCTATTTTGGCGACCAGATTTGCTGCTGATCAAAGATTTTTGCAAGCTTTCGCCTTCCTGGATTCTTGGGTGTTTTTGGCGCGGTTTGGCCGGAAAAGTGTCTGAGGCCCTGGCGCTGGGTGGCGGCACCAATAAGTGGTGATTTTGATGGGGCTCCCAGGAAGCTCGTTTCCGTTGAGGAATGCACCTTGAAGCTAGCCGGCAGTTTTCTAATCCGGCGAATTTTATGTGGCTTGTTTTGCTGCAGTCGCTCTTCTTTCGTGTTTGTGTGGACACCCAATCCGCCGGCGATCAGCATGGCCAAGTGGATGCACGAGGCATGTAGTCATGTTTATGGCTCAGGTTGTTGGGGTCCCAGGCGGCGGTTGTGTCCACAAGCAGAGAGGCCTCTTTTGACGGAGTGGGGCTGGAGGTTGGCTTCGCTACTTGTCCCCGCATATCTGACTCAGTCCAGTTCAGAGGCTGTGGCTTTGTTGAGGGGTGTATGGCTGCAGCTGTGTCGTATGTCACGGAGATAAGCGTTGATAGCTCCACGTACTTTGGGCGCTGATTGCATCTGAGGTTTGCCTCCTCCAGGGCATCACTGCCTTTGGTAGGCGAGAGGCCTGCGGTGTTCGAATAAAAGCTGCTCTCCGGAGACGCGGCTGGTTTCTTCGGCCTGCCTTCGGGAGCACAAGGGGATATGACCATAATCGGCTTGATCATGAGTTTTAGGCCGGCTGATTTGATGCCCTGCGGAAGCCTGTTTTGTGCCCCAACCCTTGACCTGCTGTGACCAAGCTTTCGCGCGTCTAGGGGGCGATCCTCAGATAGACGCCTGATCGTTGGATTGGCCTTCTGAATACTGCCAGCCCACTCCAAGTTCTTCTGTACGTCAGATGAGGAAGAAAGGGTGACTAGAAGTTCAAGAGTTCGCTCGCTTCCTCGCGTTACCTTCAAACTGTTCTAGAACTTGTGCTAGATGTGTATTCGAATCGGTTCTATTTGATGTTCGGCCTACGACGCTCGTTCGTTCCTGCCCCAGCAGTCCTGCTGTAACCTCGTTTCTACCTAGAAAGCTTCGTTTCCGATGTTACTCATGAAAAGTCTTCCTCGTTCATCTACACTGCATCCCTCGGCGAGTCGAACCGATGTTCCGACAAACTCGGAGATGAGCGGGTCCGACTTTTCAAATCCTTGCTGTGTTTGTTCCAGACCAGTTTTTGGACATTATCTCGTCGCTTTCGAATCCGTAATCGAGATTCAACTTCAAATTTATTTTCGATAACTTTTAGTGTCTCTGGCAGTTGGCAACAAAATTGCCCACTGTCACTGAATAAACACAGTCTACCTCCAGACCATCTGACATTTTGGGTCTGAATCAAGATGTTCCGTTGTATCCGTACGACTTTAACCCAAAGACCTCGGTATTCTCCCGTAGCACGAGTTTCACTGCCTTCCATAACCGTCTGCGTCACATACGCGCAACTTCGGACATACAATTCTGGTTATTTCGAAGGAGAATAGGTATGAAAACATTTTTGGCACCAAACACTACCTGCAATTAGGGTTGACTTGAGCGTTTTACGCAGGCACTCAATCACACTGCTACATAAGCCGCTTGGCCAAGTTTGATCATGCAGCCGGTGGGAGAGGCTGAACACAAAATGTGTCACAATTAGAAAGCCCGACAGCTATGGCACCTCCGCTTCCACGGGGTTCGATCAGGGAATAGGGGTGTCCGCCGAACGGTTGTGCCACGGTCAGCCTATCAAATGAACCAGCTTTCATCACCGCTAACTTGCATGAACCAGTACTGGGCGTTCGTCTCCTACACGTATGCAAGCCGGCAATTCAGCCGAGCATTCGGTCGACCCAGTTGTCTGTTTCCTAAGAACTCGCTACCACCACTTCGACATAGACACAACAGGGGTCACTAATTACACAGTCAATACCCCAAACACGAACTTCATTTTATTGAGTCAGCTGTAAGTGGTTAGCTTTTGCCAACTGCGTTTCGGTCCTAGGATATTAAGTGTCAAAATTTGAGACGACCATTGAGGCATCTTTAAAAATTATAATGAGCCTTGACTCTTTAGTTTTGGTCCTTCTCCCACCGTCAAATATCAGAGGCTAGTGCGCTATGGTGAGTGATGTTGAAAGAAAAGAGCCATTCACTGCGAAGATGTTTAGGAACAAACACATGCCAAGAGGATACAAGCCAGGGACACAAAAGTTGAGATCTCGTTTGCACAAATTTTTGAAAAACGAACGTTTCCAAACTTCCCCTTGAACCATTCCGGACCTTCCTTTAATACTAATAAGTAATACGCGATCACTGCATATTGGTTTCATTATTTCTTTAGTCACCTTCAACTTCCATCAGATTTTGAGGATGAGTTTGGGTACCAGACCTGACACTATTTGCTGTTTCATCAGTGGTAAGCCACGTTTCAGTGGCAGGCGCTGATACGGAAGCTGGCATTTAGGATCAAAATTCTCCACAGCAAGTGGTGTGATCTGTTCTGTACCACACCCGCGATGTGTAATCGTCACAGGTTCGTTTACGGTGAATGGAGTGCCGAACTATCAGCTATTGATAATGTGGCTGCTGATTGGTTGGTAGACCTTGATAATTCGGTTGCATATTTTCACCATCAAAAGAGGACAACATCGGTCAGCAGTTGAACAGAGGTCTCCACTTTACACCTTTGCGTTTAAACAGCCCAATAGGGAATCCACCAACGCCTTGCGTGACAGACTAAATAATCCACAGCTTAACGTTTAGTCCTCCAGCAGCTATTTTACTTGTATTACATGTTAGTCTGTCTACATTTCAACTCATTGGCTTGTATTACGGTCGTGCATCAGCCTACTGCCCAGCAAACCAATCATGTGGTGAAAAAATTGCGTGCAAGCACATCCACACGTCTGGATCACGCCCGATTTCATCATGCGCCGGAACAAGGGTGAAAATACACGCATGCATTTCATACCCACCCGACGGCCAAGGGACTCCGTATAGAACCGCACAGATGGCATTCTATGGCTAGCCGAGACAACGAAATCAACTGCTCGAGGCCCGGTGTGGGTGTGCAGGAGGCGCATTGGTTGGCTGTGAGCAGATCGGCCATCAAATACGACAACAAGTGAATGATATAAATAAAACTCTGTATTTGCATTATTACACAGTTTTTTTAGCCACCGTTTCGCCTTCTGGCTGTAACCCGATTGCATCGAGGAAGGTGGAGACTTACCTTGAGTTTTTAACAGTTTGTTTTGCTCCAACTGGTTCGTTCCCGCTCTATATTACGTGGTGATACTTCAAATCAGATGCTGCGGCGATGAGACCTCTTATTATTCAGCATAGAAGGCGTTCCGCATTGGAGCTGTTGGGAACACGAATAACGAATAAACGCAGGAGACATTCGGAGGTTTCTCCGCCTGAAAGAGATTGGCAGCATTTTCTGGAGGTCTTGGTTTTCAAATACCGTAAATTTCTGCTGTCTCGTGATTTTAGAAGAATGTCGGTCACCAAAAGTCACCAGATAAAATGTACAGGGTACCCCAAAATTAAACGAATCGTTTCAAAACTGGACCGGTGCTTTGGGGATGAAACGTGAGGTGACAGATTTGTGAGATCTGGAAGACAATAGGAAAAGCTTATTTCAAGAAACCTGTCTTCGTAGCAGAAATCAGAGTTATGGTCCGTTGATTTATTTGCACCTTTTACGGTGGCATTTAGCGGAAATCTCTACATTGTGATAATCGGTCATGTTTTGTCAAAACAACGGGTGAAGACGATTTGCTTTAATGCCCCAAATCTTGAAAAACCGTCCTAAAAGATCTGATTTTAAAGAGTCGAGGGCCAGGCATTGAGGCTGGAGAGTAAGAAGGTTAGTTATAGTTTCACAGCATTGAACGATCAACGACACCAACCTATTGCCTCTGCAGATTCGTCACCTGAGAGAAAGTGACACAACCACCAAGGGGTCTTCTGGCCAAGAAGGATAACGTAAAATTGAACCTATTGCTTAGCTGAATGCACCCATTTGTTAACAAATTTGGTTTTTGGGAGACTTATCTGGGACTCAGCC